AGACCAAATACCCCGCTAGGCACGCATAGGACCCAGAGACATAACGGGGACGACTTCGAAGTATGTGTCACGATCCTCGCTCGCGAATCGAGAACACAGGCGCGAAAAACCCTCGAGGCACTCTGGATTAATTCCAGAAATCCGAAAATGAACCGCAGGGAAGAATGCCTCATTATCACGCGTGATATAGGGCAGTATATAAAACTGCTTTTCTGATGTGAGGGGCACATTATACTTCCACGTGATTTCTGTGCGGTTGGTCTCTACGTGACATACTTAGTGGAGACCTCATAGAAAGCGGTGAGTGTGCAAAGCTGTGTTCAAAGTGATTGAAATCTTGGTTTGGGGTTTCTTTGTTTGGTTATGGAGGCGTCTGGCCGAGTGAGTTGCTATCAACTTGACCTTTCCAGGCTCTGAAGAAGGCGAAATTCGCCGAAACGTCAGCTTAATCGTGAACAAAGAACAATAACACCTCGCGTTTGCTCAAAAAAAAATACGAACAAAATCACTTGATCAATGCCGAGGTTAATAGAAAGTCGGTCGTGGCCTTTTATTAGACTTGGTTAATCATCTAGATACCGTGATAGCACTAGTCAGATCCTAACTGGGACTTCGAATACAAATATCAAATCTTTCCCGTATTAGACGACTTTTACAACAAAATGAATCTCTGTTTCAAGTCTCAACACCATAACTAAGATTAGCAGTTGTACTGAAAGAAGCTCAACCGCTAAGTAGGAAACGATTTTTGTTAAACATATAAGCCGCATGGTAACAACTTCAAAACACACTAGAGCTACTATCTTATGACTCGATGTAGAAAAATCAGCCTCAATACCACCAACACTGAGCACTCTGTTTATGACAACAAACAGGCAGGAAACCGGTGACAAACGATTATAACTTTGGTTACAACGGACCACATTCGTATTACATGAAAGCAACACTTGTACTAAAAACTTTGACGAATTTCTTGTTTTGAACATGAAACAACAATAGTTCCATGTGACCATCAAATTTCATATGATTATCAAAGCAAGAACAAGAAGACTGACATGCACTAACTTTGTTGTACACGTATCCATCGCTGTTCTAGTTGACCCTTACAAGTTGGCACCATTAGCCCAACCATTTTCTATCGATAAAAATAAAGTCGTCACCGGATATGAAAAATTCCCAAAGAAACAATCAGCAGGTCAAGGATCATCATAGAGAAGAATGGACAATAAATAAATGGAAAGAAGGCCTCAGAAAATTTGAAAGAGATGCAACGAGATCCTCGAAGCTGAACAACTATAAGATGTGCACTGACGTATGTCACTCAAACAAATAATTTTACTTGGAGCTAAGCTATAGTTATGAATCAGAGAGGGAAATAAGTCACCATAAAGACGGATACGTGAGAGGTAAAGAAATCGAAATTTACCGAATAGTGAGAAACTTATGAACGACGACCACCCAAAAATCCAGTATCCAAACAAAATTCCCAGTGGTGAACGCTCGTGTGAAATTGAAAAAAGCAAATCACCATCTTGTAGACACTCGTCTAATTGTGAACGACAAACTCCATCCTTTTACAAACTCGAATCAGTAGCAGGAATATAACTCACAGGTGGAAGCCACTTGTTTGAAAATTTTCAGAAGAAAGCTAAAATTAAAGACGCTTTAAAAATTTGAGTATCCCGTTCATCCTGCGCACGTGAAACCTCAAACACATTGCATTAGTTAGGAATCTCACCTACAACTACTTACAATATATCAAATCCTACGATATCGCATGATTTCGTGCCAAATTCAAAATGCAAATAGAACTTGAAAGTATCAAAGAAAAGAAATGTAACTCACAATTGAGCTAAACCGGCCTTCTGTGTTGCACTTGATATGGCCTTCACTGCCACGAGAAGTGATGTGAGCAGATTTGTAAAATCACCGGTAGCAGTTGGATGATTCTTTTGCTCAGCGAGGACGAATCGTTGAAGTGTCATGGAGTCAGTTTGGATGCCATATTGATGAGAATCCGACATTTCTAAATGCATAAGCATCAGTGACAAACTGGTCATGGAAACCAATCCCGAAACAATCTCTTGTTCTAAAGTAAGTCGCAATCAGTTTCATCGATAAACTCGTGCACAAGGTCGTAATAGTTCAGCAAATCAGAATCAGAACGTGCTCTGCCAGCAATCACATTTGTGCTAAGAAGGGAAAAGTTATCAGAATACTGCAATAACAGAAACGAAGATTGACTTCTATGAAACTTTTACTGCTCTCCAAAATTTAAGTATGCCACCAAACAAAAATAAGAGTGATCAGAAATTCTATTATACCCATTGAAGATGCTCAATTTGTGGAAATCAACATTATTACCTCACTTTCGGTTTACATACGCATTATAATTTCACATTAGTATAAGGTCCATCCAGTAGTTTACGACGTCATAGTTGATCACTGGGCGGTCCTGGATGTCGAACTGCAGTGTACCAAGTAGGTTCGACACTTATCAAGGTGTTCTAAGTTGGAAAAGAGCCTACATTTCCATGTGGAAGTCTAGACAAAAATCAATTGGTGATAGGAATATATCCAATCCTGGCAGCAAACTACTCACTATCTGACAATCTTGAAAAACCCTTCAACGGCTTTCTCTAAGCTCCAGAGAATGAAAATATTGTTGAACCATAAAGTGCTCAGTGAAAGTAAATATGTCCTGGAGGTTACGGCAAAATATTTTGTGGACGATCCATAGAAATGTTCGAGCAAGTATTAGTATAAAGTAATTAAGAGTAGTACAAAACAGCCTTCAATCTGCATAGATATTATATCAAATTCGACTAAACGATTTTTGCGAAAAAAAACAACACGTGGTGATTCAGTAAGAGCACCACTATTTCAGTAATGTTTCCTTCACAACCACAAATTTCTAAAGCTCAGTATTACTAACTAATAAATCCTTTCTTGGTAGTTCCTTTTTCTTGGCTATACAGTAAATGAAGAAAAGGGCCACTCATTTGAATCCGGCAACTCAATCAACATAGACTACCACAATAGTATTTAGAAATCATAGGAATCCAGTAATATGCAATATTCCTTCCAAAAAGATTCATGGTACGACCACCTACGTACAGGTGTTAGTCATGTCCTTCCAAGAGCTAACACTGACCCACCCATTCACCGAAAAGGATGCATCCATAAGCACTTCCTAATCATCAGCAAGCTTTTTTTAGAAACAGTGTCAGTTTTTCACAATATTAAAAGGATAAAAGGTAATGATCTTGCCGGTGATTAATTTCTGCAGAATGCGCTACGCATTCGACTTCATTAAGCATCGCTATAGATGATTGAATGCACTCTTGGCCTCTAAAATGGCCGGCGGTGGCCTACTGATGTATCGAGTCAGTGCTCTTATCCTAACGGACAAGTCTGGTAGCAATTTGCCTACCCCGGAGAGATAGAAGGCTTCATGAGCCTGGGGCGCGATGTCGAACCCATGTGTATCAGAGGACGTCTCTAATCACTGCGCTATATGAGCGTCAATTTTTTTTCATAACTTCACCTTGAAAAAACCTGGAGAACGTTTAACGTTTAAAAAATAGTTCCAATTTTTTATCGCTTTTGTACTATATAGAACACAGGTTAGCTGTTAAAACAACTGGTTCACGATGTTTTCACTGGTTTTCACTAGAAATTAGTCAACATTAGATTTTGAAACAGAATTTAGCTATTCTAATTGAGCCATAGGAAGGCCTGCAACCGCAACGTCTTCAGATAGAGTACAATACAAACATGTTTAGTAGTTCTACTTCGGGACCGGCAAACCAAGCACGACATCCCTCAAAGAACTAGATTTGGCACTAGTAATTTCTGTGGAAGGTTCTCTTCTTTCCATAAAGTTCTGCAACTAACTGCAATGAAGACCTGAGATCGCTTTAGAACGACTAGTCCAGTATTCCAAGGAGAATATGTTCGATTAATCTTTAAAAACGCCTATGAAGAAGACGAAAGCCCTCAAGTATCAGCCGAATCAGAACGAAAATCTGAAGACGCTCATGGAAGATGTGTGTGAGACAATGAAAATAATTGGAGGAGTAGAGGAATCCGTACAATATGTGATTTCGGATTATAGAAATGAATAAAATAAACGGTTAATTTGCTAGAAGGTGTATTATGAATGGAGTAGCCATATACATACTAAGTCGAGAAAAGTGGAGACGTATAATTTTTCTAACCAAATGCTGTCTTCTTAAAGCACACTGTGCATTTTGAAACAACAACAATAACGAAAAGCATTGCTCACGGGGTAGATAAAGGATCAAGGATAAAGCTCTCGGCGTTGATCAATTCTTGAGGGATGCGCTATGCTTCATTAACATCATTTGGAGGCAATTGAATGCATATCTGGTCTTTACAATGACTATGGGCGCCTCCGACCACTGCGCCACAGGCGCCTCTATGCAGTAGATATTTCTCTAGATATTTTCCTTTCATTTTACGTCTTCCTTTCTGTCCATAACGTATTATTCTCGCATTTGAATACTATTAACAAAAGAAAAAAAATTAGACCGCACAGACTGCAACCGAACCGAACCACTACAGGAGATCGATTTGGACTTCGATAAATACCCCGTGAAATTCGTCCATCGATTTGAATAAACTCCAAAAAATAGAGCTTCTCTTAGTCTTCTCAACAAGAACGTTTCTAATGGTCTAAACAAGAACATTACTTTTTTGTCGCACAAACATTGGATTTTGTATCTCTGCTTTGTTTAGGTAAAAATAGAAACGAAATCACAGGTTAACGACAGCACAAATAACAAGCTATGTGCTATACTATAACAATGTGTGGACAGAAAAGAGGTCATCCACGAGAATAGAGAAAATCGATAGATTTCTTGATAGGAAACGGACAACATCGCAACGACAACCCAGGAGATAACAACTGCTTTGGAGGTCATCCACGAGAATAGAGAAAATCGATAGATTTTTTGATAGGAAACGGACAACATCGCAACGACAACCCAGGAGATAACAACTGCATTGGAGGTCATCCACGAGAATAGAGAAAATCGATAGATTTCTTGATAGGAAACGGACAACTTCGCAACGACAACCCAGGAGATAACAACCGCATTACCCTTCTGTCGTTAAAAAAGCATGTCGGAGAAAATTGATGCGGAAAAATCACAATGACGAGTAGGATTCAGGCTCAGGCTTGCTTCACATGACCTCGTTGCGCAGAAACTGCGCTAGCATCACTTATCATATGGCAACGTAGAGAAGTCTAATGATAACTTTGAAAAATATTAGGGTGTAGTAATAATATTTCGAAACCGACTTTCTCTAAACCTCGGTGTGACTAATCAATATGTATTCTTTCTTGATAAGCTTGCACGAGGTTGATAAATATATTTATTTTCGGCTAACGTTTCGGCGTCTTCGTCTTCCTCAGAGCCGATGATCCGAGTCGATGGTCCATGATTGNCAATCATGGACCATCGACTCGGATCATCGGCTCTGAGGAAGACGAAGACGTCGAAACGTTAGCCGAAGATAAATATATTTATCAACCTCGTGCAAGCTTATCAAGAAAGAATAAATATTAGGGTGGTTTAGAAGATTAAAAGCTATAAGAACAAGCAAAAAAGCAAATAAACGACGTTCTGACACTAGACGCTACCATCTTTGAAGTCCGTGGAGTGAAATGTCTAATCTTCAAAAAGGATAGATCTCACAACAATCAATTTCTAGTCTCCAAATGGAATGAAGGATTATCCGCTAAGCGAAAATATCAGTATTACACTAGCAAAAAAGAGGAAAAGCAATTAGTTGGTGGAATTTCGCTCATTCTAAAGAAGGATTACTTGATCTGGATGTAATGACTCACAGAGAGTATGATGGAGGTGGATGATCGCCCGCACTGCATCGTAGCAAAAACGCCCCTGCTACCCCAAGGACCACCATCTATCAAAACTGCAGGACACTTCCCGGCAATCGAACGCCAGCTGTAATCGTATGTTTATAAGAGTGTCCTGACTGTAAGTGTTCCCCACCGATCAGCGTTCCCTAGTTTCATTTACGTAGTTGCGTCTCATGGTGTGCTGATGAGAAAAGTCGACCATACTGGATAAACATATGTCAGCATCAGCACTTTGATTTAGCTGTAATTTTAGAGCACTTGCACGGCACTGGTTAGTAGCATGAGCTGCTATGCAAATGTGGTCATTGGTATGTCTTCTGCGATGCAACCAAATCGAGATCCACATTCTTGCTGAGTCGGTAAATTGTTATAAGACTTGTCTTGGGAAAATAAGAACGTTAAATTAAAACATCGATTGACGTCCGAAAGTCATTACAAAGGACAAATACGCACTCAGCCGCTTTTGCGAAACAAAGTCGAATGCCTGATGACGCGCCCCTTAACGCTTTATTAGTGCCGAGCCGACACTTTTTTATTTACTGTATATTCTTTTTAACGGCAAGGTATTTTGCGAAATATAACTACTATAATGCCACATTGTCTCTACATTTTTTTTGATAGACTTCTTTATGCTTATTGCGTAAATTCTTTCTGTCTTGCACCACTGAGCCCATTGCGCTCTGTGGAACCACAACGATTCGATTCGTTTGTCCACAGCCATTAATTTTTCTTTACGGTAGCGGCCTTGTTAGTCGCACCGAGTCGAATCGAATGGAGTAGGGCACGGTGCTATTGATGTAACATCACACATCATTGCACTCTAGCTCTGAACTAAGGGTTCTTGACTTATTGCCTCTTTTCATTTGGGATTATCTATCATCGTGATGACAATCAATTCTGGCACAGTCTAGCATGTTTCAGGTGACATGCAGTGGTACAACAGTTTGGTATGGCTCGCGATCTTCAGCCGCAGACTTCAACACTTGAACCAATTGCATTCCTGCAAATACTGGACTTATTGAGATTCAGTGGAAGGATATACAAAATAGGTTTGCACTTATCATTGTGTCGTGCTGTAACACTTTCTGAATGCATTCTACTTTTTGAAAGCACGCG